TTAGATAGCCCATAACCCTAGATCGTTTTCATTACATTGATATCATAAAAATCTGCTCTTTCTCTGTTCAAAGTTCATTATTTATATTTTTTTATTTAATTAGTTTAGAATAAAATATTTTTAGATTTAATTCTTGTTTAGATAATTAGGATAGTCTAATTTAGTTAATAGTTAATCATAAGTCCTCGTGGGTTCGACATCCGACTTTTAGTCACTTTATTATTTGACGACCGCGTATACTTGCGTGAGTATGTTTGGTCGCAACAATCGTGTTATGAAATTTTTTTAGTAGAATCACTTCCTATCCCCTTTAATGGGCGCGCGAATTCAAATTAATCAAAGCGGGCGGGAAACAAAAAAAATCAAGAACTAGAAAATTATGATTATTCTTAGAGATTAATTTTCCGTTACCTTTTCATCATTTGCTTTTGGTAAAGTGAGTGTGTTTAACTTCTTTGATCCTTGAATCCTACATGAACTGTCAATTATATTATTTTAAAAAAATGTTTGATAACCTTTGAGAACGTTCAAGTAGGCTTGTTTTTGTTAACTAATGTACCTTGGCAAGCAAGAGTTTGTGACGACTAAAGCAGAGGTTAACTCCAACTACTTTAATTTACAATGTTACATTTTAGAATAATACTTTAATAATGCACCTACCTTGCCGACAATATCAGTATACTTGTCTCTATTTATTCTTGTGGGTTCACAAATAAAATAAAATGAAAAAACAAAAGAGCTAGAATAGATAGAGTTTACAAGTTCAAGTCTTACTACCTCATACCGGCCATCAGCAAAAATATATTAGAACAGATAGAATAAATATGAGGCACATTTGAACGTGCAAGACGTATTGTGATAACTGGTACACGTATTGGGTTCACTAATAATTAACTCTAGCTTACTTCTGGTGACGTAGCGCAATCTAAGTGAAAAAATCTTCAGATTTGGGAAAATAATATAATGTAGTGAAGTTTGAGAAGCCATTGTTGAATCATCGAAAGTTAGAGATCACTTGGATAGACGTATGTCGGGACGTTAAATCTATTCTTATCCAATATCCAGAACCTGCCGACCAATTTCTAACGAGGAAATGAAGAAACTTCCTTAAGCACGAAAAGTTTTTCCAAACGGTGAGGTAAAACAGGTCTCGCCACTGCTTTGTCCCAATTCCCATGTAATTAACAACAAAAATGTCAAAAGTCCAAAGAGGAATCGAGTTGTTTATCACATGAATCTTGGTCATGTCCGTTTGTCGTTGTAGTACTATCTGGTCATCAAAACGTTCTCATTTCAAGTGAAAGGTTAACTAATGGTAATGGGCTTACTAGTAAGTAGATGGACCTCAATCAAAATGATTAAAAGAAAATAGTTATTATCCACTAAAAAATAAGTTGAATAATAAATTTTTTAAAAACGAGTCAAATATGAATAACAACTATATTATCCATTTAGAAAATGGATAACCAAGAGATAACTAAAATGTTTAACTTTTACATTTATAAAGCTTTAAATTTGGAGGACTAAAAATTCTCCCAAAAGTGATCATATTCAAGAAGTCATATTATCCGTCGGTTAACCCATTTTTTATCTGTATTAACTATGGGTCGGGTCGGATAATTTATACATTTTTTCATTACCTATTTTTAACTCATCTCATATCCGACCCGACCCACCCGTTTGACATCCCTAAACCTGCTCCAATAGTATTTCCAACAAAGACACGGTGGCAGCTCCTGATAAGGACTCATCCTTTTTTGTCCTATGGGCCGATTATGGGCCTTATGTTTCTGGATCGATTTGCCCTATTTTGTGGGCCAACCCGACCTAAGAGCCAAGTCTGCTGTCAACACAAATTTTCTGTATTTTCCCTGATTCATTCGTTTTTCTTTTTGGTTCGTCATTGGAAAAATTACGTGACACACCAAATATATATTGTATTTACCACTCGTAGCTATACTTTTAGAAAATTTACCGTTTGTAGCTATATTTGAATTTTATAGCAAATTCTCATGTAGTACTGAAACAAGAGATCAATAATATTTAACAAAAACAACAGAGCAACAAGCTCTCATTGCTCAGTTTGTTAGTGCAACCGCTTGGTAAATGGAGGTGTTGAGTTCGACAGCATTTTATATTTCTGTATTTCGCCTTGGTTGTATTCTTTGCGCAAACGAATACAGTTGATACATGTTATATACTATGTATACACTCATGTATACAGTCGATATAAGTTGTATCATTTGTATACACCATGTATTTCGCCTTGGTTGTATTCGTTACGCAAACAAATACAGTTGATACAAGTATTTGCGGCGTGAACGAATATAGTTGACACCGGCTGTATTTGTTGTGCGTTTGAGTACAAGTAATACAAGTTGATAATTAGACAAACTATAGTTAATATGCTCTAAATTGTAATGATTTATGAAAATTCTCACATAGATTCAGCACGGAAGTCAAATTCTATTCTCTCACCCAGGCCCATCGTCTATCAGAAATTCAAGCGAGGGAATGAATTTTAAAAGATGAGTCCTTTCGATAGTATAGCTTTACTTCAGAATATTTACGATGTTTTTTTAAGTATAAACCTATTAATTCTTCTTTAACCTTTAAATAGGTAATAACAAGAACGGAAGAGTGCCAAATATACCCATGTACTATCAAAAAAGGTTTATATATACCATCGTTATACTTTGAGTCTAAATATACCCTTGTCGTTATACTATTGGTTCAAATATACCCTTTTTCCGTTAAATTTGATCCAAAGTGGATATCCAATCCTACGTGGCACTGATATTTGATGAAATGAATGTCACATGGCTTGCCACCTCGGCGCCCCTAACCCATTATACCCCTTGCTTCTATTTTTTTTCCGCCACTAAAATTTTCTTTTCCTCCGCCATCATTACCGCTATCATGAAAAATAATGTATTTCAAATTTTAGTCTTTTATATATGGATTAGGGGCACTGAGGTGGCATGCCATGTGACATCCACTTCATCAAATAGCAGTGCCACATAGGATTGGATGTCCACCTTGGACAAACTTAACAAAAGAGGGGTATATTTGAATCAATAATATTACAGCAAGGGTATATTTGAACCTAAAGTATAACGAAAAGTATATTTAAACTTTTTCTCATAGTACAGGGGTATATTTGGCCATTTGCCCTAACAAGAACGAATGTGGTCAGTAATTAGTTATTTATTGCATTTTTTATCAGGTCCGTTTTGAAATAAAGACAATGGAACAAAGCTCCCGCAAAGAGGAAGAAGTTGTGTATAACAGATGACTAGATGAGAAGTTGAAAGGTTTTGTTCGTGAAAAATGCTTGCTTTCATCGTGATACACGATTATATACACATATATACAAAACTATTACAGAATTACAACGTGGGATAAAAATATTTACTTACAAATTTGAGATAAAGATAAAATAACACACCTCATAAAATTTACATAATTCTAACAAAATGAGATAATTCTAGTCAGAAGAGAAAAGGACGAGGAATGAGGATAGGCCGTACAAGGCTACACATGCAATATACTTTATTATGATTAAAGTAATAAATGATGTGAAAATAAATATTATTTAAACCATTGTTAGAGGATAAAAGAAGTACGTAGAATGTCATACTTTAGTCGAGGCTTATTTGCTCACGTATTCTTTACTCGCTCCGTCTCATCTCGTGTTTCTCTTTTACACTGTCTCTTAAAAAATATGTGTTTCTCTTTTACACATCTCTTAAGAAATATTAAGTGTTTCTCTTTTACACTGTCTCTTAAAAAATATGTGTTTCTCTTTTACACATCTCTTAAGAAATATTAAATGTTTCTCTTTTACACGTCTCTTAAGAAATATTAAGTGTTTCTCTTTTACACGCCTCTTAAAAAATATTAATTAGGAAAGGAATTAGACTATTCTACCCTTGTTTATGTCTTAAGATATAATCTCTTCATTGAATATTTATTCTATTTATGTATTATCTCTATCTTTAAGAATAATTATTACTAAGGGTAAAAAAAGAAAAAACAATCAATTTTGTCTTGAACCTCTAAAATGACAAATAATTTGAGACAACTATTTTTAGTAGCCATGACGACGGAGGGAGTACCAATGTAAAAGAAAATTCTGTTATGGTAAAAGAAAATTTCCTAAAATAGAGTCCCAAGTCATTAAGTACTCACTCCTACTATAATTCAAAAATCTTGGTGCAGGGGTAGAAGGGCACATTACAATTGTTAGAATCATAGTAGAAAAAGAATTCTAACACAGTAATCTGTTCGGGAGTTTGCACTGAACAAATAAATAGGATAATTTCTTGGTTTTCCAGAGAACATATACCAGAAAAATAGTTGCTTTCAACGGCGCTCCATAATAAGCACCACTAGAAACAAAAGAGATGGATGAGGCAAACAAGTCTTATGGGGAAATAGAAGAGATTTTAGATGACGTTGAGCAGAGGTTTAAGCAGATCAAGAAATTTGACCTACTTCCTCATCCTCCCTATGATCACCATTTTTTAACGTATGACAGAAATTTCAAAAACTTGGTATCGGGAAGTACCTTTCACCAACGGATTGAAAACGAATGGCTTTCGTTGGAGAACAAACTTCCAAGTTCCATTCTTGTTAGGTCTTATGAGAAGAGGATTGATCTTATGAGAGCAGTCATAGTTGGTCCACCCGATACGCCTTATGCCCATGGCCTCTACTTCTTCGACATACTTTTTCCAAGAAATTACCCTAATTGTCCTCCAAGGATTCACTACCATTCTTATGACCTTGACTTGAATTCCTACTTGGATCCCAAGGGCAAGGTTTTCCTTAGCCTCTTGGAATATGGGAACTCGGTGACTAACTGGTACTGCGGTGTTCAAGACAAGTGGAATCTACAGAAGTCTGACATATTGCAAGTGCTCACAGCTATTCAAACTTCAGTCTTGAGTGCCAACCTCTTAAATCCTGGTGGTGGAGAAGGTTTGCGAGAATCCAACAACTTAGAATGGCTCAAATACAAGAAAGCCTTAACCTTGACATGCAAGGGCATGCTTTATATGCTGAGGGAACCCCCTTTGAACTTACAAGATTTTGTAGAGGGATACTTTAGGACAAGGGCTCACTACATTCTGTTGAACTTTAGGAAGCAAATGGATGGCAGTGACGTCATGCTTAAACTTTTCCTTGAACTCTACAGGGCATTTGAACAGAATGGAACCTATTGCAAGCATCATCTTTCGGGAGTACTTCAAGAAGCGCACCTGCCTGAAGAGGAAAAGACCAACAAGAAAGGGTTTGTTAAGAATGTTGCAACCATATTGAATGACTTCCTAAGCTGAAGAATGCCCAGAATCATTCTTTTATTTTTCAATGCTAGTGAATTTACCTTATTGAATCATCAATTTCTTCCCAACCATTTATTGTTGAGCTCCCGAATGCGGAGCAGTAAGCATATTCCCCTGCTGCACATATTTCTGACGGTAACTGATCAACTCTCCCTTTAACACAATTTCATACAGCAGATGGAAATTCATTATCATGACAGTGCCTTCATCTCCTCTTATTGTGATCAATTAGTGTCCATTAGGAACAAAGGATCAATGACATGCTAAATATATAGTACCAACGGAGATAAGAGGAGTTAAGTAGAATGATTAATTTTTTTCCTTCGATAACTCAAGCACACAATCTCAGCTTCAAACTATCTAAAGAGTTGCCCTCTTTTCTTTCAGTATTTCCCCTTACCTTTCATTTCAGACCATGAGCTAGTGTCACAGGGCAAATCAAAGAACCCTACTAACTTAACTGACAAAAGAAACACAAAAAAGTACCAGGTGCTCCAAAAATAAAACTGAAATATGTTTGACATGAAAAAGGAACCTGCTAGCCTCCAACTTTGACATCATGATAACATATCCCACTTAATATTTCCATTTCACAGCTCAATAGTGAATTACTTCTTTTTCTCCCTCTCTGTTCACTGCTTATTATCAAAGTATGATAGCTTAAATGACTAGCATTCGTCTTTTTACATAATGTTTTACGCTGTTTCCTTTCTGTAGCTTACAAAACAAACAAACCCACACTTCAGGGTAACCCATGCATCCTGTTGTTACTTTATTGTGCAAAAATAGAAGAAAAAGAAGATCCGGCAGAACCTCAGAGAAGTTCATCCATTTAACTCTAATAGTAATGAGATGTACTCAAGAACAGCAGAAACTGATTCAAAATCCAAGTCACTGTTTATGCTCATGTCTCAAAAACAGCTAGATACCAAAAATTCAAGCATATAAAACGCCTTCCTGCTTATGAAAACAAATCTTTAATTATACCTGCCTAGAGAATCAGACCTATAGCAATTATATGGATCTTCCATTTGTCTTAACGTACACATGTTGAACCATACGCACCAAACCAGGACTTGCACACTCAGAGGGAATATGCACTTGTTAAAGACACACATAAGAGTTATTCTATGATTCAATTGCTTCTGAAGCGTAATGAGCTGTAAAGTAATTCTAGAATCAATTCATTAGACTGAGTACACCTAAGAGTTAATGATATGAGGTAGGAAGATACCGGCCATGCTGCATATTAAAACCAGATGCAGTTATGGAAACAACTATCCCTACTGTGTTTTTCACAATTTAGGCAGTAACAGAAGTTAGTGAAGCTTTCTTCATAAAAAAAACAGAAGTTAGTGAAGCATAGGCTGAGAATCTGAGGTTTAGCTCATTAATTCTTGTTGGATTTTACTCTACAAAACAGCTAACACCAAAATCACCCACTTTCTCTATAAAAGTATGTCCAAGTTGTTTAAGTAAGCTGAATGTGCCAATGCTCAATAGTCAATATGCATTATTTCATTTAAGCTGAAGAAAAAAATTACGAAATCGTGAATTTGAAGTTGTAAGTGCCACAGCCACCCCATGACATGTTTAACGTGATTGCTTTACTTGACTGTGAATCTTTATAGCAATATATTCTCATTGCGTAGTTATGAGCGTTTCACTTTGAGCTATCTTCAAATCATTAACATCAAATTTTCGAAATTTATAGAGCAGTCAGTTAGTTAAGCCCCAAGTAAATAAGAGGAAAGGAAATCTTAATAGGGATAAGCATGAACCATTAACTAATCCCAAATAGCACTTCACTCACTAATCTAAAGATGGATTAAATGATTAATGAATGGACTTTTTGAAACTAATAAAGAAGTTGTTATGGTAATTATTCTATGATTTTCTAAACCTGTTTAGGTATTGTTGAACTCTTTGTGCCAAAGAAGAGATGTTTATATCGCGGGAGAAGTGAAATATCAGTATTCCTTTTTAAGTCGGGATTGGCAAGAAACTACATTCCCCAGTTTTTTCTTATTTCAGTTGAAAATCAGTGAACCTCTATTAATTTATAAAATATGTGACCATCGTCAGTTTATCGGCCAAGTGCTATTTTTAAATTGTTTAATGGAATTACCTTGGTGGACAATTAGGGATGGCAATGGGGCGGGCGAATGCGGGTTTAGACATATATGGGGCGGTGCGGGTTTATACTTATGAGGGTGCGGGGCGAGTTAAAATAAAATAAATTTATTTTTTTGTGGGTGCGGATATGGATTTAAATTTTTTACGAAGTTACTGCTTTTCAAGTTCCTGTGGTTGATGTTATTGAAATTATTCTCACTTTTCCTTCATTTGTGATGGATGAATGATGAATTAATAGGATCTTTACTGAAATGAACAAAATGCTTTAGTTTTTTCTGACAAGTCGACCTTTTAGTAAATAGCTTTTGTAATTTGTTGTTAGTATCTCCCTTCTATACAAGTTTTTGAAGTTTATAGAACTGGGATTTTGAGTATCAGTTCTTGAATTGAAAATTGGGATGTGTATCGCATCCCTGTGTGGAATTTTAAGCTTAAGATTCTGATTCTCAATGATATGGAAAGAATGGTGTTTTTGCCTTGCGACATCCTTCATCTGTTACTATTGTCTATTCCCTTTTTTAAATTTTTTTTATATTAAATTATACATTTTCAAAATATAACCGGTAAAAAGACTATGTATTTGGCATTTGAGGATAGAAAATCTATAATAAGACACTTTGAATTATATTATGGTGCTAAATAATCACTTTGAATGCTTGATTCTGAATTTAAATGGTTAGTGTTTAGATTAAATATGCTTATAATTGAAATAAAAATAAGACAAATTGAAAGGAAAAAAGGTTGCAGGGCGGGGCGAGTGGATGCGGGTGTGGTGCGGGGCGGGTGGATGCGGGTTAAAAGAGCTATGCGGGGCAGGTTGAAATTTTGCGGGTTAAGATAGAACCCGCGACGCACCGCTTGCCATCCCTACGGACAATAAACTGAAGCAAGCTAAAAATATCAATCAAAATTAGTTGAGTCAACTATAATCCTTTGTACCCATTCCGTTCTATTCAGATCTATAAGTAAGAAAATACAAAACAAACATTTTAATAAGCTCACTCTACCACCCAATATATTCACTACTAGTTCATATGCAAGAAATCAAGCTACAAAATAAAAAAACAAACAAATGAAAGTATCATGAATTCTACTCTAAAGAGCATCTGCAGATTTGAAGCATTCATTATATAAAAAGACTTACCCCTAAATGTTTCGGGTCTATAGTACATAGCATTTCTGCAAACAGGCTTTCTCCCTATAAACTACAAAGAATTAATCAAATCAGTAAAAACATAAAAATATATGCAATAACCCAGATGGGAAAACAGGTCATAACCACACCTGCAATTGTAAAGTTGAAATCGTTTTCCCTTTTACCAAAGCACAAAGATAGGAAAAGACATATTACGAGTTTGTGCGTGAATCTAACAAACACAACCCATGAAATAAAAATAGATTTAATGATAAAAAAGGGTTGTCAGATTCACGCACAAACGTGAAATACGCCTCTTTCAGATTCAGAGGGCAAATCCCTAATGAAGATGAGTTATAGGGTAGAGGAGTTCTGTTCTTTTTATAGGTAAATAAATCTGAGCGCCTCCACCACAGACAACTACACTCTTCTCTCACCATACAACTGTTACCCGTATTCCGTAAACGGCAAAGGGCCAAATATAACCCTGTAATTTCAAAATGGTTTAACAATATACATCGTCATACTATTGGGTTATTTATACTTCTTCAGTCATATTTTAGTTCAAATATATCCCTCATTTAAATAGAGGGACACGTGTCATCGTCATATTGGTCAATTCCAAATATCTCCTAATTAATTAAAAAGACTCATTACCCATATCCGAAAAATAATTTTTTAAAGCAATTTTTTTTTGTAAAAACAGGAAAAAACTGAAATTATTTTTACTAAAAACTGAAAAAAACGAAAATATTTTTTTTTCAGTTTTTACAAAAAAACTGCTTTAGAAAAAAATAAAAATATTTTCTAAAACAATATTTTTGTAAAAACTGAAAAGCAATTTTTTAAAGCAATTTTTTTTGTAAAAACTGAAAAATACTAGGATTGTTTTTACTAAAAACTGGAAAAAAATAAATTTTTTTTTTCTTCAGTTTTTACAAAAAAAAAACTGCTTTAAAAAAACTGAAAAATATTTTCTAAAATAATATTTTTGTAAAAACTAGAAAAAAAAATGTAAAGCAATATTTTTATAAAAACTGAAAAAATAAATATTTTCTTTTTTTTCCAGTTTTAGTTCAAAATATTTCAGTTTTTTCCAGTTTCTAATTGCTTTAGAAAATTGCTTTTCAGTTTTTACAAAAATATTGTTTTAAAAAATATTTTACAGTTGTTTTGTAAAAACTGGAAAAAAAAAATATTTTCGTTTTTTCAGTTTTTTAGTAAAAATAATTTTAGTTTTTTTCAGTTTTTATAAAAAAAAATTGCTTTAAAAAATTACTTTTCGGGTATGGGTAATGAGTCTTTTTAATTAATTAGGAGATATTTAGAATTGACCAACATCACGATGACATGTGTCCCTCTGTTTAAATGAGGGGTATATTTGAACCCAAAGTATGACTGAAGGGGTATAGATAACCCAATAGTATAACGAGGAGTATTCTTAGACCATTTTCGAAAGTAGAGGGGTATATTTGGCCCTTTGTCGTTCTGTAAATGTGTTTTTCTTTTTGTATTTTCTTTTTCCCCCCTTTTTAAGACAAGAAAAATCTATACAGAGGATTAGCTTATTAGTTCCATCCGTTTCAATTTATGTGAACTTATTTCATATTTAGTTTGTGTAAAAAATAGTGACTTCTTTCCTTATTTGAAAATAATTTACCTTTATGCAATGATTTATAGCGTCGGAATACATCGACAGCCCCTTAAAGTTGTTCTCCCTTTT